TTGAAATTGTTGTTTACTTCCTTGATCGATGATACTGATCCCAACTTCAATGCCTGTTTCCGAATCGATCGTCTTGAGACTTTCAGTTTTGCATTTCTCTGCTCACGAATCCATTTGAGTAATTCGTCTTCTAATTTAACAGATATCAAATGCCTTCCGGCTCCTTTCAAACGCTTGGATTCACTTGCTGCTCAATTTGATCCCTTTGATGGATCCATCGCTCAATCATAGCTCGATTGACACCAAACTTCTCGCAGCCTTGTTCGAAATTTTCTTAGCGTGCTCCACAGCTTCTAATTTTAAACTTCTCGTCTAATTTTTTCGTTTTCGTGAAGCTCCGAGTGGCTCATCTTCGTTTTCACTCGAAACGGCATCACCATGGGCGATCTTGGCTCCCAGCTCCGTCTCCCAAATCTGCATCACTTTGCATCGTTTTGCAACCGATCGACTCCTCGCGCAACTTCGCGTCCTTCTTCATACCATCCGTCAAGTTCGTTTTTCCGGTGCAAGCCAAATTCGTCGGTCATCTTCAAGGTCGTCAAAGCTTGGACGTTGTTGAGCTGGCGACATCTAACTAAAAATAAAAAATTGTTTAATGAAAACGAATAAAATAATAAAAAGAATGTAAAAATTAAAGAAGCTGTTTGACGAATGACTTTTGTAGGGAGTGGGACAAATGCGACCTTTTTTTTGCGCACCCGGACATTTGCGCACCTTTTTTTCTGCACCTTGCCCATTAGCGCACCTTTTTCCGCATTTTAAAAAAGCTCTAAAAAGCTAATATTAACAAATTTCTATTCCAAATGTTGTTTTTCCAGGTAATTTTAGGGCGTAGAATCGAAATCTTGACATAACAGAGCGTGTGGAACCAATTTGAAAGACAAAACGGCTAGATCAAATTATAGAAAATTGTCGATTTTTCTCTTTGTATAACTCCGTCCGTTTGTTTCCACTAGCTCTGATATGTCAAAATTTCGATCCTACGCCCTAAAATTACCTGGAAAAACAACATTTGGAATAGAAATTTGTTAATATTAGCTTTTTAGAGCTTTTTTAAAACGCGAAAAAAGGTGTGCTAATGGGCAAGGTGCGGAAAAAAAGGTGCGCAAATGTCCGGGTGCGCAAAAAAAAGTCGCATTTGTCCCACTCCCATTTTGGATAGTTTCTGAAGAATTTTAAGTGATGTCGAACTTTTAAGTGGTGTACGGTAGTTTTAGCGCACAATAAAAAAGTGATGCTTATATTGGAGAGAGTGTGCTTCGATTGGAGATTGGAGATTATGGAGATTGTCTTGGAGATTTTTCAATGCCCCTCTGGGGTGTGCTTCTATTGGAATAATTACCGTACAAACATTGAACCATTATCCATCAAGTTTACACAGCTTCAGCCCCCTCTTTCAGCCCCATCCTCTGCATACAAATATTTGAATCCTTTCCATTTACTCAGGTTCAAAAGCTGCACTCTCCCCTTCATTCTTCCATTCTTTGTGCCCTCACCGTGTCATTGTCCAAATCGTGGCTGGTCATCGATGTCCACACAACGAACAAAAGTCCCCCGAAATCGATCCCCAAAGTCAAAAACCCTTTCTCCTGTTTCAGCTTTTCCTCTTCTCTTCCTTTCTTCTCCTCAATGCTTTTCATCTTTTCATCCATTCCATCTTCGGGCTCAATGTTTATTTGCCCGCTCCCCTCCGTCTCTCCAAACATCTCCTCGAAATCACAAAGAAGTCTTCTCCCCATCTCAATTTCTCCTCTTTTCCTCTTTTTTCTCGAGGTCATCTCATTCACAACATCTGAAGGATCTTCTCCTCCTTTTCATCTTCTCAACCTCACCCCAAATGAATTGAATTAAATGCTGCTTTGGGGTGAAGAAAGCGAAAACATACAGCTAGAGGGGTTGAATGGATATTATATGAACGCACATTTCAAAACTTTCTTCTCGATCTTTAGCTGAGATACTGGATGATCCTAAACTTTCACATCTAAAGGATACGGGAATACTTGACAATCAAACTTGACACAACGTTAAATGACAAGAAGATCTACAAAATATCCAGAATGTGCCAAGATTGAGTGTTATTTAAATTTTAAGACAATCGAGCAATTTGCTGAATGTTGAATTAACTGTGAAGGGAGGGAGTTAAGTCTGTAAGCCAGCTTCTGGTCGATTTGGACCAAGACTAAAGCCAAGCAGAAAGCAGGGTTTTGCCCTGATCCTCTTCCTTCCAACTCTGGCCCGGAGAATTAAGCCTGTAAGCCAGCTTCTGGTCGATTTGGATCAAGACTAAAGCCAAGCAGGAAGCTGGGTTTTACCCTGATCCTCTTCTTGCCAACTCTGGCCCGGGGAATTCGCCTTCGAAACAATTTTGATTGTGAGTTTTATAGCACAAGTGTGTTACAAGTTGGTAAGAGTTTTTAAATGCAAATCTTTATTAGAAAAACTTTTTCATAGACTCCATCTAAACACTTCAAAAAACATTGAGAAGAAAAACTGTACATCGAGAATATCAAACAGTCAGCTGGGCTGGTCAACTGGGCAATCCGAATCGAATCGACTTCATAATGATTATTTCTATTGGTCTGGCGGTGCCAAACCGCAAAATTGATTTTCAAATATCGTCCACAAAAAAAATTGGTGAGCAAAATTGTGTGTAAAATTCTTCACGGTAAAACTTTTTCTCCAAAACTTCTTCGGGATTATCCAGTGAAGAATTGTAAAAACACGTACATACAGAGATTTTGATAACACAATTCCACGTGTACAGTCAGTGTTATCTTCGAAAAACACCACGAGCATTAAGCCGGCTCAACGTGCAAAAGATGAAGTTGGGTGGACAGGTGGTTCAGTGTCAACATCGGCTATTCCATTCTTTTTTCGTTCGACTATTTGTTGATCCATTTGACGCCTTCAACATGTGAGTAACTGGATACACCGGCTATAAAGCTAACTTTCACAAAGTTTTACTCTAATAGCGCTAATCTTTTTACTCTAATACTCTTATAAATGTTACTCGTCTGTTTTGCATTGCAGAACAAGCTTTATAGACTGAGTTTGTTGGGGCTTAGAAGACTGAGTTTGTTGGGACTTAGAAGACTGAGTTTGTTGGGGCTTAGAAGACTTGTTGGGACTTAGAAGACTTGTTGGGACTTAGAAGACTTGTTGGGACTTAGAAGACTTGTTGGGACTTAGAAGACTGAGCTTGTTGGGACTTAGAAGACTGAGCTTGTTGGGACTTACGACTATCGTTATATTCTTGGTACAGTAAACACTTAGTATGCTATTTGATTTCATCAGTTTACAGATTCATTAGTAGTAGCACAATACAAGTTAGGCTTTTAGCCTTTCACACTTGAGTATCTCTTCAGTGAGTTCACAAGCTCACACCTTTATAGCCTCGGGTTCCAATCTTTTGTTGGCAACCCGCCAGTCCAAAAAGTTTTCATCTCTATCAAAATCTTCCTAATCTCATCTATCTGATTCCCCAAAATCCTCTCGATTTAATCCATTTGAAATTCTTTTAATGCACTCAGAGACTATTTCATCAAAACAATTTCTATAATATTAGCACTAAAGTAATTTAGCCATTAGGGACTTTAGGAGACTTTAGGAGGACTTTTAGAAACATCATCAGCATCAATTTATCATATTTATATTTATTTATCATATCATAAACATCATACAAGACATCAAAAGTTTGAAAAAAATATATTGTTTTAATAGGTATTGTACAAATTACGACAGATTTTGAAACCATTCAAATTGGACATTCGATTTTGAAACTTTTTATCATCGAAACCTCTTTCTGGTCATTTCACAAAGAATTTTATTCAATTTTTTTGATAAAATCTAGTCAAATCAAAGACAATTCTTGTTTTATTTAGCACTTTAGTACCTTAACAAAAGGTTTATCTTAAAACTATCGAAATTTCGCTCTTTTATTTATCAATCAAATTCCAAGCAATAGTTTATCAAAAACATTACATAAGAAAAGCATTTTTTTTTTCATTTTTAAAGAAACTTATGCAAAAACAGTAATTTGTTTAGTAATTTAGTGATTTTAATGTAAAAACATTTTGTTAAAAAGATTTCAAAAGGTTAAAAAGGTTTCAAAACGTTAAAAAGGTTTCAAAAGGTTCAAAAGGTTTCAAAAGGTTAAAAAGGAACCTAAAATCAAATTATCCTTTACTCGATTACCTTTAAAAATCCCAATTTCACACAAAAAAAAAATGACAACCACCCACACAACCGCATTTTTCTCTTTTCTCTTTTCCCTTTCCTAATTCCCGTTTCATCTCAAAAAGAGAGCAAAGATAAGCGCACCAAAAAAAGAAAAAATTGAAACGACGCCACTTTTTGAAGATTTCTCTTTCACTTTTCTTTCTTGTAAAGTATGATTTGGTTCTTTACTTTCTCTTTGTAAATTGCTTTTTCCTTTGCGTATTTTGTACCAATTCGAGTAGAATGTTCTCCCACAATATAAACCCCCAAATTATTGTACCAGAAATCTTGCATTTTTGAGTTCAAGAAAACAGAAAAAATATTTTGAAAGGGCAAAAGAGAAAAGCTCTCATTGCTCTCATTGCTTCCATTAGAGTCTCCATGGTAACACCTTTTGCAGAGGGGAAAATGGGTGGAGGCATGTGTGTATTGATAAAATAAACTCATTTCAAACATTTATCAACTTTCTGCTAACTTTACCCGCATCCATTTTTCATGAAAATGACGATTATTTGTTATTGTTAAGTTGAACTTTGAAATCCTTTTGAATTCTGAATTGAATTGAACTTTTTATTAGACTCTTTCCCGCAGCGATTTTTCATGACAATGAATATAGCTTTAATCGTTTGATGGTTTGGTCAACAAATGGGACAATTTTTTTGTTCCCATTCTGTGATAAGCTTTAGAATTTGCAAATCAAATGAAATTTTCTGAACTTTCTGAACTTTCTGAACATTATTTGACTTGTAAAAACATTCCAAAAATATTCCAAATTCCCAGTGATGAACAACGCTGAAGGCGAGGAGATTTGTCGGGTTTGCAGAACGGCTCCCGGAAGACATCGATATGGATCGTGGGCTTGCGAGTGAGTGAGAACAGTTTGCGAGTTTAACAGACAAACTTGTTGTCTTGTTGTTGCCGTTGTACCTTTTAACGTCCTTCAAATCATTCATCTTTTTTTTCAGTAGTTGCAAGATTTTCTTCCTCCGTGCCGCCACTCGATTGGTCCCTTATTCGTGTCGAAATGAAAACAAATGCAAACAGCGTTCGTGCTCTTCAGTGAGTCAAACTGGAACATTTTTGCTGAAATTTTTAGATTTCAGCCGAACAAAAGTGCGCCGGATGTCGATACGAATTGTGCCTTAAAAGCGGGACTCATCCCGGAAAGTGAGTTGGGGCAAATGAAATGAAATGAAATGCATAGGATAAAATTAACTGAATGGCTCAAGGTAAAGCTTCAATCTTGAAGGAAGAAAGCTATAAGTTGCTTAATTAAATACTCTAATAGAATGCCACCTTCTCATAAACTCCTCCCTCTAACTCCTTTTTAGAAAATCATTTTTTCTCAGCTCCTAGACTTTTCCCAGCTACACTTTTGGTACCAAAAAATACTAGATTTCAAGGGCTATCATTTAATACCCATGCGAACACTGTAGCTTAAAGCAGTGCGGAGAGTTAAAGGTCTAAAGTTAGACTACGCGGCAATACCCCGTCATTATGGGAGTGGCTTTCTATTAGAGTGTTTTCAGTTGCTGGCCGACGAAGCGGTTGCTTAAGACGCCAGAAAAATGAGGCCAAAATGATCGAGGATTCAATGAAACCCAAGTCGAAATGGAAACGAAAAGTGGAGAGCACATCTTTGGCATCAACAAGTAAAGTGATTGAAGTTAAAGCGGCCGTCGAAGAACCAATAATCGAACCAGAGCTACCGCTCAGCCCCGAAGTACATTATATTAGTGAGTTTTTGAAATATGATTACTATAAATGAATCTTGATCAGTGCTTTAAATATTCTTAAATATTTAGAAGAAGAAATCGATGATGTGTACGACGTTCAACCGCCATTTTCCCCTCCAAACAGCGTTGACTTTCAACAAAAACCACTCCCACTCCCACTCCCTCCACCTTCACAGTATCAACAAGTGGTGCCATACATTGACAAGGTAAATATAATATAATTTCCTTTTCTTTCTTCCTTTTTCTTCTCCCTTGTATTTCCTTTTTCTTCTCTGGCAAGAAGATACCAGATAGCTCAGTGGTTAAGGCATCTTCCCTGAAAAGTAAAAAGGGTCCCCTCTCCGGAAATCTTTCTTTGACCATTCCTTACTTTACTTTATAGTAAGCTGAGGTTGAGCAAGCTAGCGCATTGGTAGATTGTTCGCCGGATAAGCAAGAAATCCTGGGTTCTAGTCCCAGCGTCGATCATTGTAGCATTCCGAGAAAGCAAGAAATCCCGGATTCTAGTCCCAGCGCCGATCATTATTGCATTCCGAGTCTAGACTTATCTAAAGGACCCACCCAAACTAATTGTAAATTGCTTAAAAAAATAAATAATAAAGCTTTTAGCATTTAGCATTAATAGCATTAATAGCATTAATAACATTAATAGTTAAGTACTAAATTCTAATTGAACTTTCAGTTGCGATTACCGTATGAATCTTTTCCTCAATCCTTCCCATTGACTCTCACCAATGTCTCCCTACCACAATTGCTCGCCTCGATGCGGTATCATGAAAGGTTTTTATATTTATGATACATAAAATTCCGTCAAATATGCTACTGTTCTGCGTATTTAGACCAAGACTTTCAGTTACTGCAACGGTTTGGAAAGACCGAGCGAGCCGGTTTGTGTAAATCTCCCCTACAATTTTGATCTCCACCTCGCCGATGTTCTCAACAATCCCGTGGCCTTGTGTCCCCGGGTGCCTGTGGGGGTTTTTTTGTTTTGGAAATTATCTCATCGATTTTAGATCGATTTCTCCCCCAACGCGAGTCTTCCCAAATATCCAGCCGATCTCCACTCGCAACTCTTTTCCCGAATGGTTCTCCACATGGTCGATTGGTTTCGATCTTTACCCGAGATTTGGTCCCTTTCACCACAAGATCGAGTAGGGTTTTTTCAATCTGAATTCGTTTTTATGACGAAACTCCAGACTCGCCTTTGCACTCGTCAATTGCTCGCTCTTTATCCGGTTCTCATCCTCTTCAACACCTACATAGAGAAGTCGGATGCGCTTTTGCTGGGCCTTGGAGCGTCTTGGCAAAATGATACAGATGGATTCAAGGCGTGAGTTGAAATTTCAATTCAACTCAAAGCTGAGCACAAAGCTGATTACTGTTTAAAATAAGTAATTTAGACAGCACAGTGCAGTATTCAGGTTTCACAATCACATTCAAAAGAGTTTTTCTTTAGTATTCGCGATTTCCTGGCTGGTTGCTATCAAGTGGCTCATCGAATGGTCCTTCCCACATTCAAAGCGATGAATTTCACGCTAGAGGAGTATCTTCTTTTCAAGAACATTGTTATTTTTCATTCAAGTAAGTTTCTAAAAATATCAATAATAATCTATGAGCAATCCATCAAATCTTATTCTAAAAACTTATAGTTAAACAATTTAGCCCTTGGTCTCAGTGATCAAGGAGCCGAAATCGTACGAAAAGCTCGGGTCAAGTACGAGTATTTACTCACTCAAGTAGGTTTTTCAATATGTGGATGTATTTAGAAATAGATTGCGTATATTATTTTATACCTGTTAGAGTTTAAAATCGATCTTTCAGCACCTCACAAATGAGTACGGAGACCGGGAGAAAGCCCTGCAAAAAGTTGTCAAAATCATGGAATTGCTCAATCTCTTCGTGGTTCGTTAGAGAAATTACTATTGAAATTTCGATAAAAACTAACATTTAAGAGCGTACTAACAGATTATAAAGTCGATTTTCAGGATTTCGGTCATCGACACAATCTCTATTTCTCGCAACTCATCGCCCTCAACAAATCACAAATGACTGGAAAACTCGTTGATGAGGTCTACGTGAAATCGGATGTTTTCTGATCCACAAAATGTGATAAATAAAAATTTAAAACAATTTTCCGCAAATGTAGCTGCGTACGGAAGAAGTAAGTGAAAGGAAAGCGTGCATGACTTTCACTACTCTCTGATGATTCCGACACTTTTTGTAATCTCCAACTTGTGCATAATTTTGTCCCTTTCACGGATTTTGCAACTCAAAGAAGTCATTGTAAAATTCATTTAGAAAAAATTCTTATAACAACAGGAAATGCGATTGAAATATGTACGTTAGAGTAGAGAATAGGCCTATTCCCCAAACATCAATCGAAAAAAATTGCAGGTAGAATCAATAATAACAAGTGTCCTTGAGCAAACAAAACAACTGGAAGGCGAGAAATGTGTATAAGCAAAGAGAATATTTGCACCAAAAAATATGTTTACATTCTTTGAGCAGCGGTTGAACTTCCCGACGTACCGTTACCGCCTACATGCATCCAATCATAATCGAGATCAACCTAAAGAAAATTAATGAAAGTTTCTCTGATGGTAAATCCCAACCGCATAGTTTTGACTGCGAAAGTAGCGCCTGAAAATTTGCCTCATGGAATAGTAATCCGGTTCCTCATGAAAAGCGAGATTGCGACAACGTTTTAGGTAATCTGCGTAGACACTTGGCAAATCTTTGCACAGCTCTTCAATCGATACGGCCATTTTCTAAAATAAATTTTTTTATTTCCGAATTTTAGTGTTTTTCAAGCTCCAAGAATATAGAATCTATTGGATTTGAAGATTTCTAAATTCTTTTTCATGCTAAAATATCGAGTTTCAACAGCTATTGGTAAGTTTAACAAACATCTGTTACTGTTAAATTTAATTCCTCAATGAATTTATTCTAGGCAAAAGTGTTACCTTTTCAGCAATCTTTTCGTACTTTTGTTTCTTCGTGACTGCTCTAAGACCTTGCCATGGGAGACTTCCAGCAGCGAAGTAAACGAGGCAGTACCCAATCGACTCCATATCATCACTAATGTATCATACTCGAATAACGCTAAAATAGCACATACCGCCGACTTTGTTCAATACCAAGATGTGCATTAAGTGAAGCATATCTAGCGGTTCCAGTTAGATTTTTCCCTTCTCGATATGCAATGTGGGTGCGCGAGATGCTATCACGAAATCTAAACATAAAAACATTTTAAAGTAATATGCTTGCTATCTAACCACAACAATGGTACTGAAACTTGTTAATGCCAATTTCTCAATCCGTTTAAAATCCCGTAAAGCACAATCAGTTTATGAACAAAAGGAAATTAAGCCAGTAGCCGTTGGTTTTCCTTTTTGACTACAGAGATAGGCTAAAGGCATACTTCTTTGCCAAACCATAGTCGATGATGTAGAGTCGTTGATTGTAACGTCCAATGCCCATCAGGAAATTGTCTGGCTTTACATCACGATGTATGAAATTCTTCCCGTGCAGGTATTCAATTCGAACAATCATCTGATCGGCAAGCTGCAACGTCGTCTTCCCAGAGAATTTGCGAGAGCAGTAATTGAAGAGATCTTCCAAAGACGGTCCAAGCAACTCCACTACCATGATTTTAAAGCCTTGGTCGCTGCCATACCTAAAAGACACATAATTCTTTTCTAGAACAGATTTTTAATCATGTTAACCACTAAAACTAACAGAACCGAAGCAAAAACATAAACATTACCATCTTAATGCTGGTATGCCAACACCTCCTTGAAGAATACTATAGACTTTCGATTCGTAGTGCAGCTGTGGATGCGATGTCTAAATCAAGCGCTATAAAAACGAGCCTACAGTTTACCGAGGTTTTTTCAACTTTGATCGCAACTTCTTCGGAACTCTCAGTGTTGATGCTGATAAAGATGTCGCCGAAGGACCCAGAGCCGACTTTCTTGATGAGTTTGTATTTGCCGGCGATGAGTCTATCTTGGACTAAAACAAAAGAATAACATAGGTGATTTGGTCGGTAATTACTTTAGCAAGAGATATAAGCTTCGCTCTTCACTAAACGCAGACCAAACAAAAGTTGATTTGAGATGTTTATAGCAGTAATGATTAACTTTGACTTTTTAACTTTTAAAAATTTAGTAAATTAACTAAATTTAGCTTAAAATACGTTAGCATAATAACAAAAGAACTTACATGCGTCGAGGGCTGGAATTTCATGGAGACTTTCGCGTGTTCGTTGCATTTATTGATTCTTAGATTTAAGCAAGCTTTCTAAAATAAAAAAATAACAGGTATGTAAGGAAAGGTTTTTAAAAAGTTAGAAAAGAAAATGCAAAAAGCAGGCGTGTTTGAGTTTTATACAGTGCAAAACCGACCAGAAACTGAACGGTTTTGCACTTTTTACGAAAAAGTTTTGTTTATATAGTAAAACTGGTACTTCTCATTGAGAAAGTGTACTTTTTTTGACGGCAATCGCTTTGCCTTGGTCAAAAACCTATAAAACTTGACTTTTCATTTGTGATTCGTATGGATCCCGAGAAATTCCCGATAAAAACCGTTTTGCCCATAGAGAGCTATGAAAGAATATGTGGTTGTCGGGCCAAAAATGAACTTTTCTTTGAGAAAATTCCCGATTGCATGAAAAATGTTCGGAAAAACCTTTTTCTAGTCTAAAATTTGACGAGGAATTCGAATTTGTTCTTCTGGATATGACTTTGCTAACAAATTTTTTTGTGGGACTTTTCTAAAGTCACTACCACCCGTAACATGCGAATTCGGATTCTACACTGAAAATTAGGTCCAGAACTTGTATTTCACAATAGGTTCCTGGAGAAAAATTCGCATGTGGGACTTTTTCGGAAAAAGTGCAAAACCGTTCAGTTTCTGGTCGGTTTTCCACTTTTTGTTAGGGATTTCTTGGAGTCGCTACGGCAAAGGAGTTTCTTCGTAAAATTGCTCAGAAAAACAGCTTTTCCTGGGTTTTCGAGTACGTAGATTCCGTTTTTCCATACGGAAACAACGGTTTCTCGTACAGGAGTCGAGATTTGGACCTCGAGTACTCGAGGTCGGTACTCGTATTTCATGGCCGGAAAAATGGAACTTTTTTTTTAGCAATGCCTACTTTCTGACGGCGAATTCGGATTCTACCTTTAAGCCTTAAGCATCCCATGCATCAGTCAAAAATTTTGGAACGATTAAACCAATTGATTCATAAAACACGTACAAAACTAGGACCAAAACATTTATTCAGCTAACAGGTGCGATAATAAATGCTGATCCTTGAGATGTGATGAATCGATGATGGGAGACGGAATGAGAAGAGGCATCGCCGCTCATCTAAACAACAAAAACAAATCAAATTAGAATATATTTCTCAACTTAAATTAGTTAGAACATTTTTTTAAGAAACGATCGATTTGAGTTGATTTGATTTGAGGTAACAGAAGACTAAACAGAAGAAAAATAGATCGAAATTTTGCTTTTCGAGGCTGCGTTGGATGGTAAAAAAACTAGGGAAAACGGTAAGAGAAAATAAAACTAACATCAGTAATCTTGGAGTTGAAAAGGCGTCAGCATCTGCATTCCAAGAACCCCGTGCGCGAACAATCCAAAGGAAATTGCGGAGTCAAAATTCAAAATGAGTGTAATGGGCGCGCCAGCAACGAGTTGACCATTCTGGTAACCCTAAAAGATCAAAATAAAACAAGGCTTGCTACTAGTAAAGTTCTCTTTAAACTCTCTCATACAAAAATGCTCTAATACAGTCGTCCCCACCCCTTATATGGAATTCAAGGCAATGAAAAAAAAAAATCCATATAAGGGGGGACGACTGTATTTCAAAATCTAAACACTAACCTCCTCGACAACATTCCTGCAAACAATCCGAGCCTTCGAATTACGAAGAAATTTGCAGTCCAGATTCCGATCTTGAAAGTCAAACGTCCACCTAGTGAATCCTGCGCAAATGAAATGAATCCTAGTTCCATCGATTTGTTGCAGAGACCAGTCGGGTCCATAAGTAAATTCCCGTTGAGCGGTCATCGAAGTGATTCGGAAAATTGAATATGATAAAAACTCACGCTCTTTTTGAGCTTCGAAACCAAATATTCAAATCCTAGAGACTATCCTAATTGCGATATGCAAATTTACTTTTCGTCGCTTTCCTCGTCGGCTTCATTTTCTTCGCGTTTCTGGGGTGGCCCCCAGGAAATCATGACTAAAGTGGAGCCCCTGAAAAGTTCTTGATTGTTAAATCCTGCTGTTGGAGTTCCATTTGCATTTTAAAATTTCGAGAAGCAAAAAACAACGGAGAATGAATTTCTATGAATGTGAATGACAGAAATTCTTTGATCAAAGATCAAAGAATTTCAAAAAGATCCATTTAAAAAAAACGTGACTGGGGAAAATCAAAGATCGGTGAGATTAAACCACTAAAAAACTAAAGATACGAGACAATTAAAGGTGGGTGAAATGAAGCCGTGAAATGAGTTCCTCTCAAATTGTCTCACTATTTATGTCAACACCTGCTTGCCGTTGGCAATTGGGTTGGCCCATTGCGTACGTTCTGACGTATAAAGACTTTCTCAGTAAGGTTTCTTGGAAAACCACTTCTCTAGACGTGAAATTGATCGTACAGGGTGCAGCAGAATTTAGGGCTGCTGGACGCCTCCCCTTTTTTTTTTTTTTTTTTGTTGTAATTTCTTATTTTTTTTTTTTTTTTTAATTTTTGTTGTATTTTTCGTTTTTTTTTCTTTTTTTTGAATCCGAATTCGCCGTTAAAAAGCACACTAACAATTAAAGGTGGGTGAAATGAAGCCGTGAAATGAGTTCCTCTCAAATTAGAGAAGAGAAGTGGTTTTCCAAGAAACCTTACTGAGAAAGTCTTTATACGTCAGAACGTACGCAATGGGCCAACCCAATTGCCAACGGCAAGCAGGTGTTGACATAAATAGTGAGACAATTTGAGAGGAACTCATTTCACGGCTTCATTTCACCCACCTTTAATTGTTACGTAGTCTCGTTTCCTTAATTGTCTCGTATCTTTAGTTTTTTAGTGGTTTAATCTCACCGATCTTTGATTTTCCCCAGTCATGTTTTTTTTAAATGGATCTTTTTGAAATTCTTTGATCTTTGATCAAAGAATTTCTGTCATTCACATTCATAGAAATTCATTCTCCGTTGTTTTTTGCTTCTCGAAATTTTAAAATGCAAATGGAACTCCAACAGCAGGATTTAACAATCAAGAACTTTTCAGGGGCTCCACTTTAGTCATGATTTCCTGGGGGGCCACCCCAGAAACGCGAAGAAAATGAAGCCGACGAGGAAAGCGACGAAAAGTAAATTTGCATATCGCAATTAGGATAGTCTCTAGGATTTGAATATTTGGTTTCGAAGCTCAAAAAGAGCGTGAGTTTTTATCATATTCAATTTTCCGAATCACTTCGATGGCCGCTTACTCTGAACTGGAATTTACTTATGGAAGCGCACATGTTGTGCGAGAAGTCGATACACAAGCCAAGAGGATCGCTATCGATCTCGCGGGACACTGCCTCCACATTTTTCGCATTGAGCCGAGAGTGACACCGACACCGACACCAACACTGTTCTGCAAGTTTTTGCCTGGTCGGAAGGCTCAGGTTTATTGCTCTCACGTTGTCCGTGAGGTTAGTGTTTATATTTTGAAATATTACAACATTTTTGTATGAGAGAGTTTAAAGAAAACTTTACTAGTAGCAAGCCTTGTTTTATTTTGATCTTTTAGTCCATGAACCAATTTGGTCAATATCGGGTTCTCTCGTACCATCACCTCACTCTGAATTTTGACTCCGCAAGTATCTTTGGACAGTTCGTGCACGGGGTTCTTGGAATGAGGATGATCTTGCAATTCCAAGATTACTGATGTTAGTTTTATTTTCTCTTACCGTTTTCCCTAGTTTTTTTACCATCCAACGCAGCCTCGAAAAGCAAAATTTCGATCTATTTTTCTTCTGTTTAGTCTTCTGTTACCTCAAATCAAATCAACTCAACTCAAATCGATCGTTTCTTAAAAAAATGTTCTAACTAATTTAAGTTGAGAAATATATTCTAATTTGATTTGTTTTTGTTGTTTAGATGAGCGGCGATGCCACTTCTCATCCCGTCTCCCATCATCGATTCATCACATCTCAAGGATCAGCATTTATTATCGCACCTGTTAGCTGAATAAATGTTTTGGTCCTAGTTTTGTACGTGTTTTATGAATCAATTGGTTTAATCGTTCCAAAATTTTTGACTGATGCATGGGATGCTTAAGGCTTAAAGGTAGAATCCGAATTTGCCGGCGATGAGTCTATCCTGGACTAAAACAAAAGAATAACATAGGTGATTTGGTCGGTAATTACTTTAGCAAGAGATATAAGCTTCGCTCTTCACTAAACGCAGACCAAACAAAAGTTGATATGAGATGCTTATAGCAGTAATGATTAACTTTGACTTTTTAACTTTTAAAAATTTACTAAATTAACTAAATTTAGCTTAAAATACGTTAGCATAAACAAAAGAACTTACATTCGTCGAGGGGTGGAATTTCATGGAGACTTTCGCGTGTTCGTTGCATTTATTGATTCTTAGATAACAACCAAAATAAAAAATAACAGGTATGGAAAGGTTTTAAAAAAGTTAGAAAAGAAAATGCAAAAAGCAGGCGTGTTTGAATTTTATACCATTTGCCAAATGCGTATCTCACCGGTTAGCTGAGTATCTTCAGATAGTAGAATAAGATGTATTGGTGGCCGTGTGATTTGCGTTTTTGCTGGAAATGCCGCACTATTCAAGGTTTTGTTTGCGTCGTTCATTGTTTTTTTTCTCAGGCCAATCTCACTATGTGGTCTGTGGCTGCGAAATAACTGACTACCTTTGCTATTTGCTGCGAATCCGTAATGTCTCGCCTCGTTGTCATTTGTGGGCTGGTGCCCGTGATCATTACTGGATTTCGAGTCAGTTATGTTAAATTGTTAATAATATTAGGTTAATATTAGGTAGTCAGTTATGTTGTTTTCTATAGGAAACTTTTATTTTTAACTTTAGATACCCGTAGCTGAAGTCAGACCCAATGGAATGAACAATTTACCGCCGGAACAATTGATTATTACTCGAAATTCTAAATTTGCCGTCTCTTTCGGCTCATTGGTTTCAAAGTCGAAGAAAATTCATTTTGACAGCTAGTCTTACCGAAAAATATGGCTAGTGTCTACTTTCTTTTCGAGATACCCCACTTTTTTCAATAATGTATTTAAAATCTTTCCTTTTTTTCTTCCACACCTAACCACGATCTTTCGAACCCAATTAGAGGCGTTCGGTTTCGAGAGAGGCTTTTGTTTTTGAAAATATTGAAAGAGGAGCCAATTTTGCCTTGATTCACACGTGGTACATTTGATCTTTCAGCTTGAAAAGCAGAACTAACATTTTTCATCAAATTCAAAAATTCAAAAACCATTTTGTTACTAGAGATTTAATCGAACCGTTTTCTCAAAAAATATCCCAGATAAAAGCAAAAATTGTTGCCTTTTTGTCACTGAAAACTTTCTTGAAATCTTGAAATTTTGAAACAAATGTATTTCCCTATTTTTTTTCCTTATTTCGAAGGTGACACAAAATTCCAATCGTCCAAAATTCAAATTAAAACCGCAGCAAGAATTCACGCGCCAATCGCCTCTTGTGTTATATGGGATGTCAAATGATGATTGGATTGGGAAAAAAAAATTCTCGAGAAAAAGCGCCTTTTCTCGAGAATTCTCAACGATCATCTTGAGCTCTTCAAAATCGACAACGTTTTGATTAATTCCAAAAGAAATCGCCTTTTGTCTCATTTCAATGGTCGAATTTTTGATGAACACTGTGACGATTCATTCATTCCAATCTCCCGTTTTTTTTATTCCCACGCGTTTGTCCTTTGGTTTACTTGAGCTACAGTAGTTCGAATGTAAACTTTGAAAAGACTTTCTAGTAGACTTTCTAAAGTGTATCAACTTTTTAAAACTATACAGTCATGGACAAAAGTCTTTACCCCTACCGAGGTCAGCTTTTAAAACGCAAAATTTTTCAACTTTTTAACAAGTTTTAAAAATTGTTTTCAAAGTATTTTGTAGCATTTTTACTCTAGTTTTTATATCCCATAACCAAAAGAAACAACGATTTATTTTAGGCAACAAAGAACGACGTTAACAAAAAAAACCCTCAAAACAGGTGGACAAAAGTCTTTACCCCTCGAACAAAAAGTGAGAGAAACCGAGTATTTTAATATTTGGTAGGGCCTCCTTTTGATGAAATTATTGCTTGAATCCTTCTCGGCATCGAGTCGACCAAATCCTGTAAAATTTGAGGACCGATCTTTGTCCAGACGTCGGTCGAATGAAGTACCAGAGCGTCTTGGTATTGAAGCATTTTCCCTTCAATTTCAGCTTCAAAAACGCCGATAACGTTGAAATGAAGGCATCACTAGAATTAAAAAATAATAAAGCATTGTTATGTGAAAAATAACGAAACAACAGCAAGAAAATAAAAAGTTGAAAAGGGGTAAAGACTTTTGTCCACCTGTTTTGAGGGTTTTTTTTTGTTAACGTCGTTCTTTGTTGCCTAAAATAAATCGTTGTTTCTTTTGGTTATGGGATATAAAAACTAGAGTAAAAATGCTACAAAATACTTTGAAAACAATTTTTAAAACTTGTTAAAAAGTTGAAAAATTTTACGTTTTAAAAGCTGACCTCGGTAGGGGTAAAGACTTTTGTCCATGACTGTAGTATCCTAGCTCTTTTTCTTCGAAACTCCTTTTTTCAGAAAATCCTGAAAATACAAGAATCAGATGTCTCCGACTTATCTATTTAGTTTTTTAGAAATATTCCCTGATCACCTTTTCACCATTTCACCTTTTCTGTTCCCTTTTTAGTCGAGCGTCCACCGGAAATGGCTCGGTGTTGCCTTTGCGGGCCGCTATTTTCCCAGAATCTCATAAGCATTGAAAACATTTTTAACAGCTTTTAAGGAATTGATTATTTGGAATCAGTTTCATCCGGAATCCACTATAAAGATGCTTTTCTAAAGGGCTACGGTACTCTTTCAACTATAGTAACGCTGGCATTTAACCTAACTAGTAGCTTGTAGCTTGTAGCTTGTAGCTTGTAGCTTGTAGCTTGTAGCTAGTAGCTTGTAGCTTGTAGCTAGTAGCTTGTAGCTTGTAGCTTGTAGCTAGTAGCTTGTAGCTAGTAGCTTGTAGCTAGTAGCTTGTAGCTAGTAGCTTGTAGCTAGTAGCTTGTAGCTAGTAGCTTGTAGCTAGTAGCTAACTCTAACTATAGTAATTCGACCTAAAATCAAAACTTTCTTGAAATCTTGAAATATTTCCCTACCGTAACACTTTAACCCAATCGAGCTTATTAAATCGGTTAGTATTAATTGTAAGTTTGTCTTTTATCCAAACAAATTTATCTTTTATCCAAACGTTATTGCGATTGATGGTTTGTCAAGTTTTCCAATTCAACCCAATACTTTTTGACCTCATTTTTGGATTCCGAAAGTTTCAAATTTCTATTCTTTGAACTTAATCTTTTGAACTATTCCATTTTGTTTCCAAATGAAACCCAAAACTTAAATTTGGCCCATCTTTCGCCCGTTTTAGGTTCAGTAAAAATTGGCTCTGTTGAAAATTCCATTTTGAAGCTTTTTCCCATTTCTTTTTATCAAAATCTTTTCCCTTCTTTGTCCGACACGAAAATGGCCTGGACTTTGACTGCAATCAGACACCCCATCCTTTTTACTTTCATTTTTTTTTCCAAACAAACCTTGCAAATCCTCCTTTTCATCCACCAGCAACCCAAAGACAAAATTTTTCTTTTTCTTCTTTTTCTTCTTCTTCTTCTTCTTCGGTTTGTTCTTTCAAATTTGCAGTCGGTTCAAAAGTTCTTCGTCTTTTTTCACTCCCTTCCAAAAGCGCTTCCCAAAATGATCAAAGATGACGAGAGTCTTTGAATAGGATTTTGTTTTGATTAGCCCGATAAAAACAGGAAATCCGTGTGTTCAACAAAATTTAAACTTCAAATCTTTTATTTTTTTACAGCTCCACACACATTGTGTTCGGTCTTTTGGTATCTTTAGCTTTCATGGCATTTTGGCCACTCACTTTTGGTATCAACTGATCTATGAGATGAAAAACGCGTAAGCGTAAGCGAAAAGAAATCTAACAACCTCTCTACAATAAGCCGCTTATTTGAATGCAATCTCGTCTACGACTAGTGTTACGTCTACGTCTACGACAATAGCGACAATAGCGACAATAGTGACAATAGCGACAATAGCGACAATAGCTTAAACTTCTACTATAATGTCCATTACAGTAGAACTCTAAGCTATTGTATCTATAGGTTAACTGAATGAAAAGCAAACATTTCTAAAACGTAACAGGACTTATTTATTCCTGAAATTCAGGCATTTCAGCTGAAGAAGCTAAGCTAAGATAGCTGTAGATACTCGTCGTGATGTCATTATTAAAGCACTTGTTCTTCTTTTCTTTTCAACACAGAAGCAGCTTTTCTTGAAATTTCACTTCGATTTTTGCGGCACAGCCACAAAGCGGACGCAGTATCGCACCATCCGATCGTGCAGTCAGCATCATAGAAATGTTCATTTTATCGTAGCCTCTTGTTAGTACACCTACTTCCCGCACAAAAATCGAATCAACACACTTGCTCGTTGAAGAAATCGAGCCAAACATTGAAGCACATTCTAGGAGTGTCACCCACATATCAGTGCTTGCATGAGAGATTTCTTGAAGAAAAAAAACCTACTCAAAATCCCTTTTTGCCCACTTCGAAGAGAAGTTGAGCTAAAAAATAATTGATGAGACTTCCTGATTTTTTGAACCAAAAATGGTTAGAATTTGTTTGTTTGCAAATTTTGCCCTTTTTTGGACATGAGTTTACATGCTTTTTTTTTTGTGAAGTCACGCCGTCTCCTCAAATTTTCAAAGTATGAAGTCAAAGTCTCTTACTTGTTCTCGTTGACCAAATGTGTCCCCCTCCCCCAATCGTCATTCAGCGTTTTTTTCTTTTTTATAAAATTCTTTTTGAGTTGAAATGACAAGTTGAATGTAGATTTAGATTGTTATCCAATTTTTTTGGATCTCACTTTCTTTTAAAACTCAACTTACAGCTCTTTGGTTCCTCGTTTGA